TAAACCCCAAAACCCCAAAACCCCATTCCCCCAGGCCCGGAGCCTTTCCCCCCTTGATTGGCTAATGTAGGGGCCCTAATAGTTAGAATAGGGCTTTGGGGGGTTCCTTACTATGCTTATAGTAGAATATACCCCACAACCCCCTATTCTAAAAAAAAGGCCCCTACACCCTAAACCCTTATAGTATAGAACCCTTTAAGGAACCCTATGCAGCCCTATTCTAATTCTTAAGGCCCCTACATTATCAGCCGTAGCTTTGCCCTAATCGGCTCCTTCTTTGCTAGTGCTCTGGATGCAACCATGAGCCCCAAGAAACCTCCTATCCCAACGGGGTGTAGGATAAAGCTTGACAACTACAGGGCTTGTACGCCCTACACCCTATACCCCTGAACCCCTGCATCCCTTATAAACCCTAAACCCCTAAACCCCTAAACCCCTAAACCCTCAACCCCTAAACCCTAAACCCTAAACACCTAAACCCTAAACCCCAAACCCTAAACCCTAGACCCTAAGGGCTCAGAAGCTTCGGAGTTATCAGGATAAGGTCTCTGGTTTGCAGTGTCCAAACCCTGTTCAAGAGCCAAGGTCCAGGGCTTTGGGTCAAGGAGCCGAGCGTTGTTTAGGGTGTAGGGGAGGGGTGAAAGCTTACCTAAACCTCCACGAGTTTTCCAAACAAAAATGGCCCAACAGTTCTAAGGCTAATTCTACAGACTTTCGGAGGTCCAGGTAGAGGCTGTAGAGTTTAGGGTAGATCGTGTGCTTTGGCCGCAGTTTCCTCCACTCACATCGTGCCTGCCGGTTGTGCACGGGGCCACTGCCTTTTTTTTGGCGGGGAAATGTCCAAGCATGGTTTCAGGGTCAGTTTGTTTTGAAAGCCATGATTGGGTTGCAGGGGCGTTGAGGATTTGGGATCCAGACAAGGAAGTTTATTGAGTAGCCTATTCCTGACGGGGTCTCTCGCACCAAGGAGTTAAGACTTTCGCAATGTCCCTACACCCCATAACAGCCCTGAACCAAACATGCGCTAAACCCTAAACCCTAAACCCTACACCCCATAACAGCCCTGAACCTAGTTAGTCTTTCAGGCGCTTCTCGGGGTTATTCGGGGATTTTGCGTACCAGGGGCGAAACCTCCGGCTACCCAGACAAAGGGCTCAGGATGACAACGAAAGTGGTTCTCGGGTGTAGGGTGATATTGATGTGTATAAATATAAATACAAATCTAAATATATATATATATATATATATATAGAGTGGACTTTCCGAAAATTAAAGTACCTTATTCTGGGGTCCGTATAATAAGGATCCTACTATTTAAGGTACTATATTAGGGTCCCCTACTTTCGGAAACCCCCATATGATACCTGGTTTATTGGCTTAAACAACTATACTTTCTCAGGAAACTCAGTGGCATGATATGTTTAATCATTCCGGCCTCTGTCAATGCTAAGTTTCCCTTCGAGGTTCTTACCTGCCAGAGCAGCCACATGGGTTCAAAGCATATGAGAAAGAGGGAACGGACAGTTGATATCCGGGAGAGAAGCGAAATTGACTTGACTAGTTCAGCCGGACTCTTGTTTAGGGCTAAGGCGATGTAGGGCTTAGGGCCACTAGCAGCAGTTCCCAGCGTTGCGACACCCGAGGCTCCAAACAAAAAAACACTGAACCCGAAACCCCACATTACACACCGTTGAACGCGAAAGTACAAACCCTCAAGCCATGATCGGCGTCTGATGTATAGCCTGATTGAAAATCAAACCGCCATTAAACAAAGGACTATAAACCTCTATGAAAGGGTACAGAGCTTTGGGGTTCTGGTGCTTCGCGATCATCACTGCTGGAACCGAAGGCAGAGCATCATTGTCTTTCCGCACAGCAAGCCCTCAATATTCCTTGATTACGGAATATACCTTGGTTTGTGGAAAGCTCAAACTACGGAATTGAATCTACCTACCTAAAAAAAAATATATATATATATATACACATTTTTACGGAATAGACATTAAGTTAGAGAGAGAGAGAGCTGCAGGTTATTCTACTTGAAGGTTATGTTCCTTCACTCTGGGGAATATTGGGTTCGGCGCTCAACTGAAATAAACCTGAGCAGGCGCACACCCTCAACTTTCGTGTGTGTGTGTGTGTGTGGGGGGGGGGGGGCTTACCCTAAACCCTAAACCCTTAAACCCTAAATCTAAACCTAAACCCGAAAGCCCTACACCCCAAACCCTAATACCCTAAGCCCCTAAACCCCGGAAACCCTAAACCCCCAAACCCCTGCACGCTAAGCCCCTAGAAGCTCTTTTCCTCAGGGTCAAGTACCTAATAGCCATATACTCTCCCAAATAGTAACCTACATAACTGCTATCCGAAACCTAAGTACCAGATTATATATTGGGTCCTTTGGACCTTAGGGTTTATTAGGGGACATTAGGAGGGACCCCTAGAAGGGACACCTAATCCAAATACCCTATATAACCCTTATATACCCCTTATATAGTCTCATAAATTTCCTATATAACCCCAAGGGTCCCTTTCAGGGTCCCTCCTTTCGTCCCTTGAGTTTATGGTGCCCTAAACCCTAAACCCTAAACCCTAAACCCTAAACCCTAAACCCTAAACCCTAAACCGCATGAGACCCCGGGACTTTGGTTGCAGGGCTTGGGGTTGGGGGGACTCCAGGGCTATGGGCTTTTTGGGGTTTAGGGCTTATGTGGCTTTTGGGCTTTAGGGTTTTAGGGTTTAGGGTTTTAGGGTTTAGGGTTTTAGCGTTTAGGGTTTTAGGGTTTAGGGTGTTAGGGTTTAGGGTTTTAGGGTTTTAGGGTTCAGGGTGTTAG